CAGATCGTCTTCGATGGTATTGTGAAAATTGTAAAACTATAGTGTACGAAGAGTCATTTCACTGTTATGACTTAGGAACTCAATTGAAGCCTATTATTCAAAAATACGCGACAAATGAAGAATTAAGAAAATGTCAATCATGTGGACATGTGAATACTGCAAAGTAATATCTACATCTACATTATAAAATTTAGATGTTCGATCCGTCTCGCATCATGTGATCACGCTGCCCGTTGTTCAGCGGTAGAAGCACCTATCATAAATATTTTTGTTGATTCATTTTTATTCTATTTTATTTTATTTTATTTTATTTTATTTTATTTTATTGATATAATACGTAATATATAATAAATGAAGTATAGCATCCATAATATCTATCAGTATATTGCACAAGAAACACTGTGAATACTTTTTCCTTCATTCCATTTCAATGCAGTTAATTCCCCACCATAAACACATCTTGAATCCAATCCAAATGTGAATTCTTTAATGTTTAACCCACGTGATGCGTCATGACCATATATGACTGTTTTTGGTGTTAACGAAGACCGCTGTGCAGTGTTCCAATAATTAGACCACGAATGTCCTTTATTTATGGATTTAGTTGGTCTTCCGTTCTCTTTTATGTTTCTCTATATTAATTATATTAATTATATTAATTTATATTAATTTATGGATAAATATGTACTTAATAAATATGCAAGGTGTAATCTTTCATACCATAGTCATCATGTCTTCTGGATTCTGTTGATCAATAGGTACGTCTGGTAAAAGACCCGCATGAACTACATATATATCTTGTTCTGGGATGTCAATCACGATAGGGCACGAAGAAATGAATTCATAAAGCTCTTTATCGATATTTCTATAATATTAAAAATATATATATATTACATATACTGTTCAAATATATAAATATATATTAAATTTATATGGGGGTGAGTCAGTAGAAACGCATCAAATTTTTTCTAAGAAATTTTTTTAAATCTTTGAACAAAAATAACTCAATAATAACTTAAGCAAATTTAATAAAAATTTTTTAAATTAATTCTATAAACTTGTAGAATTTATTTTAAAAAAATTGTATTAAATTTAATTAAGCTTTTGTTGAGTTATTTTTGTTCAAAGATTCAAAAAAATTTCATTAAAAAGATTTTGTGCGTTTCTACTGACTCACCCCCATATAATTATAAACTTAGAAAAATCTGAACCTTGCTAATCTCATATGCTCGTTATCCATACTTAGGTGTGGTGGTAGTGCATTCTTTTTAACATAATCTTTCAACTTAACCCCTTTTTCGTTCAACATGTTTAAAAATACTTTCCATCGTATTAATTTGTCATCGTGATTTCCACGGACGCAGCTACTTCCTAATTCTTTAACCAATCTAACAACTTCTAGTGATTCGGGGCCTTTAGCTACTAGATCTCCAACAAATATCAAATGATCGTTCGTTGAATTATATTGAATTTTTTTTAAAAGTTTCTTAAGTTCTTTCAATGATCCATGAACGTCTCCAATAAAAATTAAATTCTTTGAGGAAATTGTTGATGATAAGTTGGTAATTAAAACTTGGTTGGTGTCTAAATGCTCAATTTGTGATTCTATTTCTGATATATAAAAATCTGATTTAATGTCACCAGGAACGTATGGAATCATACTTAAAGATATTGCTATAAGCATAAGTGAAAAGACAGTAATGATTATAGCCACTGATCTAGTATTGCACGTTTCCGTTATTCGCTTTTTTTGCGTAATGGATTTCATTTTGAAAAGAAGAGTGTGTAAATAACTTGGTTTATACCGATAATGTATCAACATCCGACATTTAAATTTACATTACACATTCCAAAAAAAAGAATTATTAATTTAAAAATGGGCGTTTGTTACAAAAAAAGTATCGTATTTGAAATTTTTGAAATACACAATACTGCATTTAGATTTTTCGATGTAACATGACGCACTAATGTGCATGTGATCCTTTTTGATTTTAATGCTAGATATCTGATACCGATACTGCAAACTAGGTTACATTACATATAAACAAATTGTGCGCCTGCCCATGCGCAAATCAGGTTTCGAGATTAGGTGAAATAAATGATTTTTTTTGATTGAGATTTTTTTGTTGAAATCTAAACTGGCTATATAGTTTGTTAACGAAAATAATTTTATATTTAAGTTGTGGTTTCGAATATAATTAATAATTAGTTTTGATCTT